TCTGAAAATACCATATTTGATAGGTCTTAGAGTCTTCATATAACGGAGATACAGGGCGATTTATCGATTTCGAATAATTATTCATTCGTCTATATTTACATTTATTCGAAATATTAAAATAACACACTGTAAAATTAATAACTAGCACAGTACATCAAAAGAATTGTGAAGAGGAGGAAAAACTGGATTGTGTATGATGCTTTTTGTTTTCCCGCCACCAATTCTCATCGTAACAATCATAAACAGAAAGTTGAAAGTATGTCAATTTGAAGAGTATTGGAATTATGAAACCAGTGTCAATTATGATTATTTGCCCCGACTTGGACCCAATTGAACATGTTTGGGATGCTCTCGGGAGAAAAGTACGATCTCGTTTACCAGCTCCTGCAAATTTACAGCAACACAGTGAAGTGTTAATTGAAGCATGGCAGCAAATCGATCAGGAATATTGACAGCTATAACTGCATGAAATACCAATATTTGAAAAAAATGTTACTTAGCAGGTATTGTCAGATCGCCGACGATATTCAAAATCTGATAATGGGCATGCCAAGTCGAATTGCAGCAGTTATTCGAGCACGTAGGGGAAATACGTCGTACTGAGTTCATTAGCAATTTTCAAATGATTATCAGGTTTCATTCGTTACGTCGGTTATGTTCATCATTGCCTAATTCGAAATGTTTATTATCACCAAAATGTATAAATGTAAGGTTTTTTTGAAACCCTTGTAACTTCCACAAAAATGCAGTTATCCTAACAAATGAAAAAAGAAAATGTTCGTAATAAACGTAGCTTGATGATTGACTGAAAAATTACAAGATGTACCAGCTTAGACACTCCAGAGATTGTTTTAAAATTGAAGTAAAAATGCACTTTTTTTGTCACTCTGTATAATTTGAAGATATGCCTCATTTCTTAAAATCACAACATTGTGTGTGATTCTTTATGAATTTACCTACAGAATAAAAAAAAAAATTTAACGAATCAGACATGAATTAACGAAGTTAACGTTGAGTTAAGTTTTATCTATATTTTGAGTGGATCGATTATTTTGCCGGTGAGTGTATATTTATATCTCCAATGCTCCAATACCTGATTTTGAGATTACCCACATGTGCCAATAATTGAGTATATCGATTGAAATACTATCTATTGACTCAACTGAGTGTACTTTTTTTTTGCGGGAGTATCGAAATTCTTGCGGAGGCAGGTAAAGCGGGATCTATAGCTTATAGTGGATTTTGAACAACTTCTAGGACGTTGAGGTGCTGTTCACGACATTTTACTTTTCAATAGTATATTATTCAACGAGCGGTAATGTAGGTCATAACTCACGCAGATGAAGTTTGCGGCACGAGCCACAGGCGAGTGTTGTTATTCATCAAGTGAGTTATGACCATTACCGCAAGTTAAATACTATACTTTATCAACGACTATTACAATAAATACTAAGTTACAAGTACAGAGAAAGAACTTTATAGACATATCTCTTGATATAAATTTTAGATTTAATCACTCATTTTGTTTATTGAAAAAATTAACTGTGAACCAGTAAACTGAATATGTGGAACTGAATTATGGAAGTTTATTTAACTTGCATTGTATGGATGTATGTATGTATTGTGTAATTAGATCTATGGTATGTATGTTCGGGTGGAATCTTTGAACTCAATTTTGAAGTAGAAATCGTCAACCGATTGAGCTGAAAATTTGTATACACGTTCAGTTTGGATGACAATGCACGATAGGGTGTGTCACGTTATTCTAAATCCAATATGGCGGACTAACCAAGATGACGGAATAACTATTTTTGATATACTTTCACAATATGGGTATCAAATGAAACGGCTCGTTGAGAGTAACTCGAAAAATAATGTGACGTCATTCTAAATCGACTATGGCGAACCATCCAAGATGGCGGAATGGTCATTTTTTTAAATCTACTTCTACAATATGGGTATCAAATGAAAGGGCCGTTGAGAGTAATTCGAAAAATAATGTCACATATTATTCTAAATCCAATATGGCGGACCATCCAAGATGGCTGAATAGCTATTTTTGATATATTTTTACAATATGGGTATCAAATGGAAAGGCTCGTTGAGAGTAACTCGAGAAATGATGTGACGTTATTCTAAATCCGATATGGCGGACTATCCAAGATGACGGAAAAGCTATTTTTGATATATTTTTACAATATGGGTATCAAATGAAAAGGCTCTTTGAGAGTAACTCGAAAAATGATGTGACGTCATTCTAAATCGAATATGGCGGACCATCCAAGATGGCGGAATGGTCATTTTCAATCTACTTCTACAATATGGGTATCAATTGAAAGGGCTCGTTGAGAGTAATTCGAAAAATAATGTGACGTTATTATAAATCCTATATTGCGGGCCATCCAAGATGACGGAATAGCTATTTTTTATATATTTTTACAATATGGGTATCGAATGAAAAGGCTCGTTGAGAGTAACTCGACAAATCCAGCTAGCGATAACTAAAATTTAAAAAATAAATTAAAAAAAAAACAATTTTATAATAAAAAGCTTTTATTTAAACGCTCTAAAAAGACGAAAATAAAATATTTCTTAATAATTTTAACTATCAACTTATAACCTCATTATACACAATTTATATGATCATAAAAGCTTGTCGCGATGATCAATATGTAATTAAATTGACATTTTGGGGCAAATCATCTGATTTGTCCTTACTACACGTATATTGAAATAATATTCATATTTTTATTTTATAGAAACGAGGAGAGAAAATCCCAAAAAATTTGGAATAATGAATTAAATTGTAATTTAAAAAATTTTATCTCAGCAGATTTTACATAATTAAATAAGTACTAGTTCATTCGCACAAGTGAATCGCGCGACAAACTATTTATGATCATATAAATTGTGTATAATGAGGTTATAAGTTGATAGTTTAAATTATTAAGAAATATTTTATCTTCTTCTTTTTAGAGCGTTTAAATAAAAGCTTTTTATGAAAAAGTTTTTTTACTCTCAATTTAGTTTTCAATTTTTAGTTATCGCTAGCTGGATTTTTCGATTTACTCTCAACGAGCCGTTTCATTTGATACCCATATTGTAAAAGTATATCAAAAATAGCTATTCCGCCATCTTGGATAGTCCGCCATATTGGATTTAGAATAACGTGACACACCTCCCAGACAGCACTGAATATTCATAGAATATTCTCTAAATATGCTAAAAAGGAGGAGTATATTCCGAATATTCATCGATTATTCCTAGAATATATACATGCCTCTGGAACATCTAGAAGGAATATTCCAAAGTGATGTTCAGGGAATATTCAGGTATGAATTTTCCAGGAATATTCCCAAATGAATATTCTCTCTTGTATATTCATGAAATATTCCCAACTGAATGTTCTGTGGGGTATATTCATGAAATATTCTCAACTGAATATTCTGTGCGGTATATTCATGAAATATTCTCAACTGAATATTCTGTGGTGTATATTCATGAAATATTCCATGAATATTCCTATATTTCTCAACACATAAATACCCATCATTATTTCAGAGTTGTGAGTATCGAACATCAAAATTAGATGTAAGGAGATTTTGAAACAAAAAGTGTTTATGATCCGATTTCGAACAACGCTCTCACAAGAAATTGATATGTACAACATCATCCAATTCGATTACTGGCCTAGTGGTCAAGGCGTTGGTCTGATAGTCTAGAGGTCACGAGTTCGATCCCTACTAGGGTCACTTTTTTTATTTTAGAATATGTTTATTGGAATATTCCAGGAATATTCAACATGGAATATTCTTTAGGATATATTCTATGAATATCTGAGGAATTCCCATTCGCATATATTTAGAGAATATTCCACAGATATTCCGGAATATTCCAGATTATTTCTAGAATATTCCAATATCCCAAAAGGAATATGATAGGGAGATTCATGGAATATCTGGTGCTGTCTGGGCTTATCGTGCATTGTCATCCAAACTGAACGTGTATACAAATTTTCAGCTCAATCGGTTGACGATTTCTACTTCAAAATTGAGTTCAAAGATTCCACCCGAACATACATACATGCAAACATACAATGCAATAAGTTAAATAAAAGCTTTCAACAAAATATTGTGGAAGTTGGATTCGGATCAATATAAACCAGCACAACTTTATTCAAAATTGAAAGTTGACAGCTCGATTATATTATTATCATATTTCAAGTCTTATTGAAGACTGCCTTAGTAAATGCCCCAGGATTTTTGTTGTTAGGGCGATTGTAAAACTTGGCAAAAACGGATGATTCCTTAGACCATCTCGCCGCTCTTCTGATTATATCCCATGATATGCCTAGTCCTGCTGCTTTAAGGTATGTTCATGATTGTACGAATTCCGCAAAATTTATGCGAATCGCAAAATATGAAATTTCCGACAGAATTTGACGTTCATACTCATGCGACAAAATAATGCAGGAGTTAAGGGTTCTGTTGTGATATTAATTTCTTTATTTCTGGTCCCACCATTGAAAGAAGTTCATCAAATTGAAGGCACGTTACACGAAAGTAAATATATGTATTAGGGTCATTCAGTCGCATTTATCGAACGAGTCTGTACTAATCTCCATTAATTTTTCGGCATTTAAAAATGCTTCGAACAGTACAGTTCCTTTTTATATATTTGATAAGCAGGAACCAAATAGATACAGCATATCTCACTTTGAAAGCCCCTTCCTCTATATCCCTCAATATCTTGATTTTTATGAAATCATATTTGGAATATTTTGGCATAAAAACTAACTTCACATTGTTCCTCATGCTTCCAAACCTCCATATTGTGCAAAAAAATCACATTTCAAATTGATGGGATTAGCTTAACTTTTTTAATTTTCAGCCTGGAGAAACTAGTGAATTCAAACTGCTATCAGCTTCAAAACAAAATGATATTTGGATAAAAATTTAAGGAATGGTAAGGGTAGTTAGTAGTTAAGAAATTCATGAGGTTAATTCTATTTTATTCTTGAATCAGATCAGTTTTGCAGGTTCCTATAATGAAATTGCAAAACCTTCATAGTAAATAATACATTTAGTTTTGCATACAAGACTCTACCCATTTTGAAAATTTGGCTACATCACAAAAAACTGCATATTTGTTCTCAAAATCACATGTTCCATTTCGTGTCACAGCATAGGATGATATTCCTCGAAGTTGGTACACTCCATTTGAATGAAGTACAAACCCTGATCCACTATCTCCTATACAAGGGCCCTTGCTTGCCCCATCTGAAAATAAAGCATGTCAACCTCAACCCGCATATCCGCATACCTACTAGGGGTGGGAAAAATTATCGATATATCGATAATTATCGATAATTATCGATAATAATTTGGAGAAAAATTATCGATTTATCGATATTATCGATATTATCGATATTATCGATATTATCGATAATTATCGATATTATCGATATCTTCGATATTATCGATATTATCGATATTATCGATATTATCGATATCTTCGATATTTTCGATATTTTCGATATTATCGAAATAATCAATAATGTCGATGATATCAAAATTATCGAAATTACCGATATAACCAATGATATAAAAATTATCAAAATGAATGAGCATCAGAAACATAGGTATTTTTGTTTCTTATATGGAACACCCTGTATAAAACAGATACTTGTTGGTAAGAATTGAAGTAAGAATGAAGAATATAATAAGACACGCCACCCTGTACATCAGCCCTGTTCAAACAACATAGGACTCCAGCACAGCAACTTGCATGAAGCTATCTGACATCTGGCAACGTGGCAACCCTTATTAGTTGTGGTGGCAAACTTATTGGTTAGTTATGTGTTGAACGAGTAACAAGTATCAAGTAAGGTGGGTTATCTAATTATATGGAATATTTTTATTTCATCATTCGATTGCTCATTCCTTGAAAAATAACATAATGACAAAATGGCTTTGTTTATTATACCTACGTAGAAACCAGAAAGTAAATATAAAAAATTAGTTTTATAAAAATACCCTTGTCACGACTAGGGGTGGGAAAAATTATCGATATATCGATAATTATCGATAATAATTTGTAGAAAAATTATCGATAATATCGATAATATCGGTAATATCGATAATATCGATAATATCGATAATATCGATAATATCGATAATATCGATAATATCGATAATATCGATAATATCGATAATATCGATAATATCGATAATATCGATAATATCGATAAATCGATAATATCGATAGATTATGATTATCGATAATCGATATTTCAAAATCATTATCGCCCACCCCTAATACCTACCACCTGTATTGTGATCTCAAAAACACTAGGATGATATTGAAAAGCTGTTGCAAGGGGATTCAAATAGCTTATTTTTTATATCAACCTCTACCTGCTGGTATTAGTTCGTCTCATACGCGTATCCAGGGGGCTGCGGCCCGGCAGCCCCTCCCATGAAGGCAAGTCTTGGGAGGATGATTTATAATTTTTACATATTATAACCACTTCTGACGTACGACAATATTCATCACTTTTCTATAACCTATGTAATAAAGAAATTAACAGAACATAATTCGAAAATATTAATATTATACAGGGTGTTAACAAATAAGTGTCACAACAGAAAACTGTAGATTCCTGATAATGAAAGAAACATTTCTTTCCTATTCAAAATGTTTCTCCGGGCTTCCGTTTTCAAAATGTTCAGTTCAATTAAACACACTTTACAAACACACAATAAACTTATAACAATTTGAAAACCAGCATCGAGACCAGCATACTCAAGAACCTGATATTTGATTGAAGATATTATTAGAAAATAAAATTTTTCTTAATAATTTCAACTGTCAACTTATAACCTCATTATACACAATTTATATGATCATAAAAGCTTGTCGCGATGATCAATATTTAATTACATTGTAATTTTAAAAATTTTATCAGCAGATTTTACATAATTAAATAAGTACTAGTTCATTTACACAAGTGAATCGCGCGACAAACTTTTATGCATCATATAAATTATTGAGTATAATGAGGTCATAAGTTGATAGTTAAAATTATTAAGAAACATTTTATTTTCTTCTTTTTAGAGCGTTTAAATAAAAGCTTTTTATCAAAAAGTTTTTTTTTTTTACTTTTAATTTATTTCATGAGGAATCTACAGTTTTCCGTTGTGACACTTATTTGTTAACACCCTGTATAAGTGCGTATTGGCAACAGCGCTAGAATCGATGGGAACTATTTGCGTTGCGACAGTCGGCAGACATTTTTTTTCTTTGATCAAATAATATTCCGTAGTTTTCATTATAATTCGTTCATATTATTGATATTTTTATGGTGAGGCAGCTTATGTACTTTGTTAAACTATTTTAAATTTAGTTATGACCTATGTATACATTTTTTGTGAAACAATAGAAATAAAGTTTGTTTTAGCAAAGTGTCAAGTGAATCAGTCGTGCTGCACCTTAAATTTCCGCCACACTCCCTTCCTCAGGAGAGAAGGGGTAAACAGGATTTCTCCACCTCAAAAAAAAAAGCGAATAAGTGCAAACTCGCATCCCGATGCAAATATTTTTGCTGTCCCGACGGCCGACAAAAGAGCCCCTTGTAACGTTTTGGTATGTTTAGGGTGAATTACGAACATAAATTGGGTGTGGCTCCGAAAAATGTTTTCACCTGCGGCGCTTTTCTTTGGTCACCAGTGTCAGTGTCACCACTTTTTCTTAACAAAGCCGCCCCCCCCCCCAAACCAAAATCCTGTATACGCCAATGGTTCGTCTAGTAAACTAATGATATTTGAATTAATTGTGATTATTTCATTCACACCCGGCTGGACCTATGAAATGTCATGATTGAAGTCACATGATATGCGATATCAGCGGCTATTCAGGTAAACAAACAATATGAGCGGCTATTCTGTTCGCCAGCATAAGAGTGCTATGGTTGTCAAACTTTGACATATTATGTATCAGTCACTAAAAAATTGAAATGTCTCGTTTTGGGTCAAATTCCACTACAGAAATTCGTAATTATGTAAGCGAATCGATATCAGAAAATAACAAGGAGAGTAAAGAGTTTGTCTGGAACAATTCATGTTTTTTTGCCAGCAGAAAAACTATAAATTTTGTGCGACTATCCATCTCTCGTGATTGTCCAAATCCTAAAAGATTGGGTGAGGAGAATAGTGAGGAATATTAGGAATACACAGTTGAAATTGATATGGAAAACTAGATTGACAGGAAATTTGCTTTAATGAACATAAACGTAAGACAAATCCATTTGAATATATTGAATTCAAAGGTGCCAGGATTGCGCATAATGCAAAAAAGCGAAGCCTATAATATTTTTCTCTAACAGGAAAGGAAAGTACAGAAGCTCTAACAGAGAATATTAACGCTATCAATAGCGTTAATATTTCCTCTTTGCTCTAACTTTAGATGAATTGATTACAATTGTAGATATGATGAGAATACCCTAGACGGCCTTCAGAAGAATTTTTATTCAAATAGAATCTGCAGATTTGTTACTCGAATAAAATGTTGAAACTCATATAAACCAGTATTTTTGCACTGTTCATGAAATAATCTTCCTGAATATCACTCGACCATGACAAATAGATACTATTATTTTCGTTAATTCATCTCGAGTAACTAGTATTTCATGACAATTCAATTCGACCATATAAACATAAATAATCATAGAATAACTCCCTCGAGCTAAAGCTCTCGGGAGTTATTCAGATTATTAATGTTTATATGGTCTCATCAAATTGTCAAAATACAAGGTACTCTCGATAGAACTATGAAAATAATAGTCGGCTATTTGTCATGGTCTCGGGATATTACCTGCGAATATTTTTCCTGATCCTCAAATGATGCTACTTATTTACTTTGTTCTCCATATAGTTAATTCCATCTTATCCTTCAAATAAGTCTATTTTCTGTGGATTTGTAGACCTTGGTTCAGGTTTTCACCCTTAGCAATGTAATGACTATGTAAATAACTAACAACTAACCTGCACAGAAAGTTTTATCAGAAGTGATCTGTAACAAGCCAATCTCTGAAAGTATGCAATCATATTGGGAAACAATTTTCATATCGGCATACATGGCATGGGATACATGCAGAGCACCATTTTTTCTTGCTATCTCGTCTTGGCCATATCCTGCTACGGTACCAACTTTGTTGGTTACGGGATACAAATCTGTGTCTTCCATCCACAAACAAACAGGAATGAGAAAGTCAGAAAAACTTACTTGGTTACCTGAAATATAGGTACATATTTTTATCCTATCCTGTCTATATCATTACCCAAGAAAATAATGTTGGGCATTGGGTTGCATAACAGCAGGGATATATAAAGAATTCAATAATCAATAACATAACATTATCAAATCATATATCAATAATCCTCATTATGTCACACTAACCCATAGTCACTACAGAAATGTCAGCATGTGCAGAATTTGGATTTCTCATAAAATCAGGATGGGTATTAACTTTGATAACTCTACGTGACACTGCACCATTTGCCTCCCAGTTCATTATATCATTGGTTCCCATTACCAGCAACATATCCTGGATTTTGAGCACTTGGATTCTGTAATATTGCACACATCTGCCAGCTGTCAAACATAATGAATTGAAGGATATACCCACTCAAGGAATAACAACACATATATTGGCGAATCACATTGTATATTATAAAATTTGTATGCATATGTGTAATCTGAGATGATTGTAAATCAGTGTGAGTTTCTGCATAATTACCTACCAGTTACCACATGCTTGTGGGATATAAGGGTGGCAGAACACTTGTACTCATATTTATCAGATGAGTAATTTTTTGACATTAGTGCTACTAGCCAGGGAAACTGACCGACTGCAGAATCGGTACCTCCAAGAATGAGGGGTCTTATTGAAGGTTTTGGAATTCCACATTTATAACTTAGTTTTTCAACTTCTGAAGTACTTGACACTACAGTAGGCAATTGACTGAAAATAAAGATCCATATTATATGAAAAAAAAATTGAAAACTGGTTCACTGGAGCAAATCACGTACCTGACAACCTCCTGTGGTGTTGGGGTAGACAATGAAGACATTGATGGATATTTTCCATAACTGACATTATTTTCTTCTGATGTATCAGTAGGCATTTTCTGGACTACCGGTATTCTCGCATCTAAGATGTTATCGTCCGGGTCCTTCACAGGTATTTCAGATTCTGGAATTCCAGGATCTTGATATTCCTGGATCAGATTCCACTCCGGTATTCTGGTGAATTGGAACATTGTTGAATACCATAGATTTGTTATACCTTGTGTACCTGGGATCACTGCAAAATAAATGATCATCAATAATTTCAATCTAGGTATAGTTATGCCATGTCCTTGGTTATGCAGGAGCAGGAGCAGACACTGATGGCCAGGTTAGGATGGTAAACTTGGGTGTTTTTCCATTTCAAGTTTCAAGTCTATTCTAAAATTTTGTTTGATTCTTTGTCAAAAAAGCTGTGTTGTTGAGTGGCTACAGCAAATATAAGAATAAATTCACAAAACCATATAATATTACACCAAGTACGTATTACACTCTATATATACAACATGAACATGACAGAATATCAACAATTTGTAAGTAGGTATACTTACATGGTTCAGGTGGTCCTTGACAGAAAACATTTCCATTGTATGTTATTTGTGTTATTTTGGGAATAATCTCCTGGGATGGAAAGAAAATATTGTAAGTCACTGTACTAACATTGGCCATGAGTTGTTTCAAGGCAGTTTTTAGTTGTACCTTCAATTCCTGGAAAAAACAGAAAATAACAATGTAGGTAGTCATGGAACATGGAAGATAGTCATATTTGATTATTCCATTCCAAACCTAAATAGGTAAAATGAATGTAGATAGAAGGTAACCTGAAGTTTTCACTGGTAGAATTCAGATTATAATGAACAAATATATTAGGAATTGATTAAATATGAAACCAAAAAACTATTTGTATATTGAGAGCTACTATGTTTATAGGTAAAAATGTGCTCACCACTTTGTTACTGAATCTTCCAGCTAGGGATGCATTAATGCTCAGTGTCATGAAAGTAGCTTTATCATATGGGATATTAGTTTCTCCATATAATAGCCCTTTTGCATCTTTGTAGTATGAGAATATCCTGGGGCAAGGATTCTGGGGAATTCGCACTGGAGACACATATAGAAATAGACATGACAGCAACAATAAGATGAAGAGGGATGTTTTGTATTCCATTTTCAGGATAAGTAGTATTGGACTTCTAGTAATGTCTAGCATAACCAACATTATTGTGTAGTATACTCAATTACATCCACTGAACTATAACCCGTAGGGTTAAAGTTCAGTGATTACATCTCAATCAAATTTGGGTTTTTCCAGATACAAGGTATGGAGCAATGACAAACAGGTTCTTGGTTCTTGGCAATGAATATGAAATCATGATGTATGTTATGCATGATGGCACCAGGATATAATTTATGGGACATGGCCTAGCACCTCATCTCATGATCTCATTGTCATTATTTGTTCTTGATCACGATTCTTGATAGCCCTTACTTCATTTATAATCAATGTCATCAAGTCATCATATCAAAAGTTTTACTGGCCATATTATCTCTGCTGACATCTTCCCTAGGCTAATGCATATTGCACAAGAACAAGAAGAATTAACAGTATATATGACTAATTTCAACATCTTTTCCGCCTGTCTTCTGGATCACATTTAGAACAATTTGCCCTTCTTTTTTCATCATTGGACAATTTATTAATATCTCACAGGATGTCTATTCAGTCTTTGTTCTAATTTTAGTCTTTAAACAAAGTTGATTCTACACATTCGCATAAGAGCATTTATACAACAATATTTGTCGTAGTCTCAAGTCTCAGTCCTAAAAACGTGACCTTGAGAGTTCCAATTTTCAACTTTCATTCTTAGGAAGAAGACCACGACGTCAGTGCGCATGCTCAGTTTGTGCATGGCATTATTGACAATCGAATATTTTCTCTATTCTCATATTCTGTGATCTGTGTTGTGTGTTCATAATTTATATAGGTTATGTTGTGATAACAACAAAAATAATTATAATAAAAGATATAAAGAGTAATAAAATAAAAGAAAATGTCTTCAGATGAAAGTGATTTGATCGAAATGGTAGAGAGATTCCCACATATATGGGACAAAAAAAATGCCCGTCACAGTGACAAAGTAGCGGTTGAAAATGCTTGGGAAACAATTGCAAAAATTATGAATTTTTCTGGTAAGTACAAAAATTTTGATGGTATTGGATTCTATCCTTTCAGTTGAAGAATGCATGGAGACATGAGAGTCTTTACGGCTGAAATATGTCCGGGAAAGAAGAAATGTGAAGTGCCTACCATCAGGTTCAGGGGCATATTCATGTACCTGGCCCCTCTTTGAGAAAATGGGGTTTTTAGACAGGACCATCATCTCCAGAAGGTTTGTTGATAATTTAATTCTGAAAACTTATTAATACATATTTTTTACAGAACTAAGGGCAATATCAGCCGAAAAAATAATGAGAATGAGCAATCCGAAGTATGGGATACCATGTCGGAAATGCTCAGCCAAGACCAGGAAGAGTCGGAGAAACGTCTGGGCAATTATTGGAGGAGGAATTAGAAGAAGTAGCTCCTGCCATTTTACCTACTCCTCCAAAAAAAACAGTCCTCCAAAGCAGCAGTGATATTGGAAATCTCAGAAAGGAACGCTTGAATAAAAGAAAGAAAGTTGATGTTCCACTTGAGTCCTTAGTAGCTTCATGTAGCTCAGTGGGTCAGAGTCTGAATTCTCTGCTGAATTCAGAGATTAATAAAGAGGACCATCATTTTGGTCTGTCTATAGCAGACACATTAAGCAGAATGACAGACAGAAAAAAAAATTCCCTAAAAGCTCAGATAATGTTGCTCATAGCTGAGAATACGGATTGAGTCCATTTTTCTATATACCTACCTACACGTTGTTTTGTTTTAGAGCAAATTTTATTTTTAAAGAAAAATGTACACATTTGATGTAAACTTTTATTTATTTAGAGTTTATTTTTTTATACTATCAACATTTTAGGAATAGGTTTTTGTGATCACTGTTCAGTTTTTCTTTTTTATTACAAGCTTTGATAACTACCCTTTATAGACAGTGCCACGAATAGCGAAGATACAGATTATACACAATAGTGTGAACTAATAAAACTTTAATGAACTTTTTTCTACAAACGTCAAAAAATGACAAGGTTCGCGCATTGATAACGAATTGCGAAGTGACACTTTTTTTCAGTTTCCTACGTTACCATGATACCTTGCACAAAACAATGCGCGAAGTAAAACAGTGCGCGAAGTACCTACTTCGCGCATTGTTATGTAAAATATATGAGATATTTATATTTCAACTTTAAGGTCCTCAATCGAGCAAACATTCACGAAATCATTCATTTCTGAATGTTCAACAATAACTTTGTCTTATCTCTTGGAGCGCACGAAAGGAAATTCCTATTATGTTCATGGACCATCGTGCGTACCTAGGGAGGACCGGGGGAGGCCTTTCAAGCCAGTTCGACACTATTTTCCATATCAAGCTAAGCATATTTTTACTTTTAAACTATATTTTTTGACGTTTGTAAAAAAAATGTTGTTTGCAACTCGAGCGCGAAATACTTTGGTCATCTCGACTATTTTTTTAACTCGGCTATCACCAAAGTAGCATTTCGCGCTCTAGATACAAAAATAACTATTTCGCAAAATACAATCTGTCGTTTTTCTTTTTAACTGACAATTCCTTTTCTCTCTTCCGTCAACCTGACATCCTACCCTCGCACACTTTACCGTTACCATTCGTCCATCCTGACTATGGTTTTTGTCCCCAAAAACGAGTTGAATTGAAACAAAGAAAAGTGATAAAAAAAACTAAAACTTCATTCTGTAATGAAATCTTCAAATTTCTTGGGCCTTCTCCGATTTCTCGTTGGTCTCAGACATGCTTCTTCTTCTCCAGGACTTTTCTCCTCTATGATGTCTGGAACATAGTCCGGATCTTCTTCATATTCGTTTTCAGTTTCGTATGGTTCACAATAATGATCTTATTGAGACAATATTTCAGTTTCTAATATTGGTGTTCCTTCCAAAATATCCTCTTCATCACTGCTCTCATCATTCATTTCCTCATCCTCAATAGCATTTCTGTATCTTTTTAGCTGTGAAATATGAGCATTAGTACAAAAATACTTATTTCCTTCTTCTACATTTAGACTTTCTACTTTGTATACATCATTTCCCATTATTTTAATGATCACTAAAGGTCCTCTGTACTTCGATTGTGTCCAGGGCCGGCTCTACAGATTTATCTGCTAGTGTGCAAATCCCAGAGTAGCGCCTCTATTGGAGTTTATTGAATTAACAAACTGAAAGCTGATGCAATAAAATATAAAATCAAACTATTTGATGTTTTCACCAGTGTTGTTTCCAAAAAAGAATACGTATATGTATAATGAAAATTCAATTTTCCGTCGACCTCGTATTAACGACTAAGTTTAGGAAATCGTTCATTAATGGCCCCTATTAATGAACGATTTGTCTATTAATACACGATTGTTTTATAGGCAACCAAACATACACCGCGTGCATTCATTGTTCATGCTTTAACTTACGGAATCTGCATTTAAATCGAAAATATGGATTTCATCGAAGATTTTCCGTTAACCGGTTCGCCTTTCCAAGTTTCTGACACGATTTTAATCCCTGTTTTCTAACACAAGGAATTTATTTTCAATGTTGATCATTTCGACAAATAACAAATGTCACTAATGTCAGTAACAAGGCTACTGGGTGATTCTTAGCAGTTTCCGGATGGATGGAATTTGCGAACCAAGTTTTCTTCATTGCAGGAGAAATGAGAAATATAGTCAACGGAAAAATTTTGTAACCAACTTGTATATTAAAAGGCGATTAATACACTAGTTGGTTAAATAACTATTAACAAATCATTAACATAACTAGAAATAAAAATGAATTCTGAAATAAACAACCAGAGCCGAGAACGAACTCTAGAAATAAATTCATATTTTATCAACAGAGAGTATTCAAGTGAGTTATAGGTAATAAAATGAACACACAAGGAGAAATATTGCAATTCACAAAAATGGCACTTTACGGGTTTTCTGAGTAGCAAAATCTTTAATTAAATCGCTTATATCCAAAGTAGGTATATAATAAGTTTGATTCTATTGATGTAATTGCTTAACTAGACAATTTTTCTTGGGACATTGTCGACCTCAAATGATTTTTTATTATCTTCAATTTCGAAAAAGATATTTCTCCTGTTGCAACAGATACTGACAGTGTTAGCAACATTCTCAAAGCTACCGTGAAATTTGGGAACAAATATATAATAAACTAAATTATTCGTCAAGATATATTCTAACATAGTGTGAGGATCATTATTTGTGATATTTTCTTTGAAATAATTTTGTAGAGTGATAATTGCTTCGTAAAGTTCTAGACCGTCAATATCTGGATTCTCTTGATTCATGTCGACTAATTCATTGTGGAGCTGCTTACAAAGTTTTAATAATTCTTCTCCAGATATTTTAGAAAATTCAAATGAAAAACCAAATATATCATTATAGTTTCTCAGATTTTCGAATAATTCTTCGAGGGACGAGGGACGTTATGGTTTAATCTATTACTTGCAATAAATAAAAGTTGATTTTGAATTGTTCTTCAGGATCAACCGGTGTCTCATCTTTATGTTCGTTACTGAATTGTTTTGTTTTTTTTTTCTACGGCGGATCGTTTGTTTTTCTGGAAATTTTTTTGTTATATAGTTATATGAAAGTAGGAATTTTTCTATCGTTTTCCCTTTCGTTTGGCGCCCCTTTCTGGCCGGATGGTGTGCTGTGCACACCTCGCACACCCGCTAGAGGCGGCCCTGATTGTGTCTTAGTTGGCTGTCCAGTGGACACATGATGAGCCCTCTTCATCACGACAATATCTCCTACTTCATAAGATTCTTCAAATCTTTTACAATCATACCTATCCTTATATTTCTCCTGTTTTTCTTCAATTTTTTCTCTTATATCTTCATGAATTTTCTCTGGTTCCTGGTACATTTCTTTTGCAATATTATACGCTATTTTCGCATCTTCATAACGTGGTGTATAACCATGAAGACATTTGAACGGTGTTTTACCCGTAGTTCCATTCACTGTGTTATTCAAATGTCTCTCCACATTTTTAATATTTTTGTCCCATGACTCTTCGTCATCCATGGTAGTGGTGATAACTGGAAGTAAGAACCTGTTGATAACTTCTATTTGGCCATTAGCTTGTGCCCAGCGACTAGCTATCAAATTATGCTGTATACCTGCTTCTTTGCAATAATTCCGGAATACTCCGCAAGTAAAAGCTGATCCTCTGTCCGTAACTGCTATTCTTGGAATTCCAAACTTCTGCACAAAGTTCTTTAACATCATTACTGTTTCTTTTCCTGTTGTAGTGTTTACTGCATATAACTGGACGAATTTTGTAAGTGAGTCGATGATAGCAAGGACATATGAATTTCCTTTATCACTTTTCACGAATGGTCCGAGATGGTCTAAATGTATTCTCTCCATAGGCCTGAATGTTGGCGGAACAGGATGTAGTCATCCAGGTCTCTTACCACCTGGAGTTTTTTCAGTTAATTATTAATAAACAATAGGCGACTGAGATTAAGATCGCAGCGCCAGAACGGCGAAACTGGTACTACTCTATGGGCCATTCCTGGATTGTTTATATTTGTTTACAGGCGGTATTATGCTATATTTTCAACGTGTTGAATATTTTCAAACAAATTTATTCAATAACTTCTCAAATGGAACACATGTAAACTAATTTGAACAAAGTTAGACAAAGTATTACATGGCCCATACGTTAGTTATATTCAGGAAGACAGAGGGCGTACTCCTTAGCATGTTTCGCCTATAACGGGTGCCAGGATGAAGCCAATAATATGAAACAAATGAATATCCATAAGGATTTGGTGGCATGATACGCATGCGCCATGCGCTATTATAGTAGTCATCAAAGACATGCGTTTCGGTGGACAATGACGTTTACTAGCCTTTCAATCAAAGCAGTATGTGTCTGATCGTTTCAAAAGGTCATGACATTCTTTCCTTATGGATAGTCATTTGTCTTCAAAAATCGGCTTCATGTT